ACAGAGATCTGCCTGCCTCTGCCTCCTGAGTGCTGGGATTAAAGACAAGAGCCAGCACTGAGAGTTGTAATCTTAACCAAAGTCCAATCCCTTCTGTCATTGGTGCTGCCTACACAGAAATAGCCTTAGTGATTGTGTATTGGCCAATGAGATGAGTGAGAAAAGTGCCATCCCAGAGGGTAATGGGCTGGAGGCCCTTCAGGGCTGTCCTGCACCAATCCTTGTACTTGAGTCCTGAGGGATGATAGCCATATAGAGTAAAAAGCTAAGCTGGAGACAGGGTCGGCTCTCCCAGCTCATATCAGAATGGCAGGATAGTGCCTGGTTCCTTTTGAAATAGGGCATTGGGTTTAAACTTCTAGAAGGCAGCTATTTAATTTACTTCAACATTCCCTGGGTAGTGATATTTCCACAGTGGGATATGAAAAAGTTCTAGGAGCCCTGTCAATGTGTGCTTTCCTGGGAAAGATACTTCATTCCTTGCATGATGTGTTTATAGCTCAAAAGTTTTGCCCCTCTATTCCAGCTGTGAGAGAGCAAGGAAGAAGTTGTGTGTGCATGCCTGGGAACTTTTGAGCTTTCCTTGCTTGCTCTCATAGAGAATCCAGTGGCAGTACAAAGCAGGAGGAAATAACTGCAAATCAGTTGCAGACAAATAAATGAATAAATAAGGACACATGTCTAGTCCAGTTGATAATGACAGATAATAGAAACCATTACCCAAGAAAAAGGCATGCCTGGACTAGTATTGAAAAGTTACAAAAGGTTACCCTATTACATGCCTAGAGGCTGATCTAAAGTCTGACCTCCACCTGAACCAATTTGAAGCTCGATTGAAAGTTTGTGTTCCCTCCAAAGCACATGTTGAAATCACAATTTCTGAGGTGATAGTATTAGGAGGTGGTTTCTGTGAGACTTGTCCTACTTAGGATTCCAACTACTGTGATGAAACACAACTAAAAGCTGCTTGGGGAGGAAAGGGTTTATTGGACTTACACTTCCACATTGTAGTTCATCACTGATGGAAGTCAGGGCAGGAATCTGGAGGCAGGAGCTGGTGCAGAGGTCACTGTGCCGTGCTGTTTACTGTCTTGCTTCCCATGGCTTGCTCAGCCGCTTTCTCATACAATGCAGGACCACCAGCCTGGGGAGGCCCCACTCACAATAGGCTGGGCTCTCCCACATTAATTACTAAGAAAATGTCCTGTAGGTTTGCCTATAGCCCAGTCTTAGGGAGGCATTTCTCAGTTGAGTTCCCTCCTGTCAATTGATGGCAGTCTGTATCAAGCTGACATAAACCAGCCAGCACAGGAGGTGACTGTTTCCTGAGGATTATTGCCTTCATGGGATTCCCATGAGACTGTGCTTCAAGAGATGCTGTCTGCAAACCCAGAAGAGCTCCTCCTACCCCATCCAAGAACACTTGTGCATGGACATGGACATACAGTAAATAAAAACATAAATATAATTTTTAAAGTAAGCCGAGTGCCGGCATCGTTGCTCACACCTGCAGCTCATACATCATAGCTCATCTCCCAGCATTCTAGAGGCAGAGGCGGGAAGATTCCAAGTTAAAGCTAGCTTGGGTCACAGAGAGACCCTGCCTCAAAAGGAGTCATGAAAGAGGATGAAAAGCTATTTTTGTCTAGTTTTAACTCCATTATTGTTTCTTTCTTTTAAAAATCATGGATAAGTGAATAAAAATGTAATTTCTAAGAAAAAGAAAAAAGGAAAATAAAACCAAAAAAACCCAAATTTAAAATTGAAACATTTTTTATTTTTGAGATCATAATTTTATTACAACGTTTCTACCTGCCGTTTTCTCCCGCCAAACCCTCCCACATACCCCTCCTGCTCTCCTTCAAATTCATGGCCGATTTTTCACTAATTATTATTGCCAAACTTAAATTTTTAAAAATTACATTTTATGGTATTTGTGTACGTGTGCATGCGTATGTACGTACATGACACACTTCACTTGTGAATGCCAGAGGACGACTTTCAGGAGTTAGTTCTCTTCTTCTGGGTCCCAGGGTCTGAACTGGAGTGATAAGGCTTGGTAGCAGGCACCTTTACCTGGCAAGCCTTATTGTTGGCTCCTAAACCAAAATGTTTACAGAGGTCCATGTCAGGAAAAAAAAGAGACCCTAAAGTCCAGGTGTCAGACTAGCAGGGTAAAGGCCATCTTCTGTGTCTGCTATTTCCCTTGTTGAACAACTAGGTATAAAATGAGTAGAGTGGGTTTGAATTCCGTTGTGGAAATCACAATATTAAATGCTTTCTTTTGTTAGGTTTGCTTTAGACAGCATTTTGCTGTGTCGCCCAGGCTGGCTTTGACCTTTGATCCTTCTTCCTGCCTTAGCTTGCCGAGTGCGGGAGTTTCAAGAGGGAGGGAACCACTATGACTGTTGAGATTTGCTTTTTCAGCATTACGTCTATGGGGATGCTGGTCCACTCTTGAATTCATCGGTGTGAGCTCATAGGAGTTAGCATTTCAGTCAAGCTAATTTGTTAGGTCTCCTTTCTTCCTTTGAGAGTGTAGCAAAACTAACAGGAATACCGACTGCTCAGCGAACACTGTGGCCTGTTCAAAAGCCATGAATGGAAAGAGGGTGCAGGTTCTGAGTAGCCTGTATGTTAGAAAATTGCTCTGGACAGAATTAGGGGATGTCAGGAGCTGCTTACAGTATTTTTAGGAAAGAAGGTAAAGGATGCTATTGGTATGCAAAATAGTCTCATAAAGGAATGATGCAAAAAAAAAAAAAAACCTTCACATTTATATAATGACATCTTGTAGCCAGCTGCTCTTGCCCATTTGGCTACTTTAAAGACTTCCTTTCCGTGTCTTCGATACAGAAATTACTTACGTAGGTTTGCCACTAGGCCTGTTTAATTGGTATTAAAACAAAACACCTCGTTTGCCAGATATACAGTGGTTTCTGGTGGAAGCTGGGAGTGACCTGCAAATCCCTGCCCTGGAGTGGCTGAGAAAATGCAATTACCTCTCCGTATTTTCCAGAGGCTTCAGGGACTCAACTTAGGAAAAGAATAACTAGCTTGTTGCTATTTCATGTGTGAAATTTAATGATTTCCTGGCAGTCTAGTGGCATTCCTAAAGTAAAAAAGGAACCAAATAAACCCCCTTTAGAATTTTTAACTAATAGACCTAATGAGATTTTGTTGTTGTTGTTGGTCTGCCATTCTCATCCATCGAAACTGATGGATTTCCATTTTTGCCGAGATGTTATTTATGTTCTCTGGGGGTTTTCCTTTTATAATTAGAAGGTTCTGCAAGCCTTATAGGTATGCTCCGAGTGAGTGCTCCTGTGTAAACACAAATCTTTTTAGTTCTTAAAGGTAATTACAGCTGACAATAGTAAATGCCAGGGTGTTTATTTAAAGAAGGGGGGTCTTGCAGCTTAGAAACCCAGACATTTCCAAGGTTATAAGCTCTTCTATAGGCAGCAGGTACAAGCCTCCTGGGCCGGACTAAAAGAAATCTGCTTTTCATAAAGCGGAAAGAAAATAAAAGCCGTTGCTAATCTTCACTTGGTGGTCTTTCTCCCCGGCTGATTGCAGGGCATTATTCCTCCAGGGCTGGCTCGAAGCTCTCTCCTCTCTGTTACAATCAGTTATTCCATAATCATCTTGTGGAGTACACTGCAGTGCAGGGAATATTCTCGATTAACACGGTCAGATTGCCATGGAGACAGATTGCCTGGTGTCAGCTCTTGCACAGTGTTGGGAATTTACAGTCCCCAGACATCGTACTTACTGGGGTCGCTTCTGGAAGTCATTCGCCCGGTTCTTTGAAGGGTAGTGATGTTTGGAAACCCTTTGGTTCCTCCCTGGGCAGGAGCTGTGCTGCTTCTGTGTGTGGCTGCCTTGTTCAGCTCCACCTGAATGGCTGCTGCAAAAAACCATGCCTGCCTGACCTTTAGAATATGAACTAGCAAGAGCTTGCTGTTTACATGTAGCTTTGTGGGAGAGGTGTTGACACACCGATTCAGAGAAGTGCTCATGAGAAACCAGAAAGACTGCTGTAGGTTTCAAACCTTGTTTTAATAATGTTAAAAATAACCCGGAAATGGACTTGCATAACTGGTGTTTCAGTTTTTAAAAGACCGCTGGCCACACAAGTATTTTGAAGATACTAAAAAAAAATTAAGAATAAGTAAAAATAATTGAATTGCCGAGCATCTCAAGTGGCCCATATGCCAGGGAGGAGAGGGAGTAAGAGGTGGGACTTGAGCCTGTGATGCCAGCTGTGCTCGCTTGTGGCATCTACTGTCTTTGGAACAGTTCTGTGATGAAAGCAGTGCTCTTCTCCTTTACAAAAAGCAAATGAAGAGGCTAAGCCGGCTATGGGCCTGTGATTAATTCAGCTTGTGAAAACGTGTAGTGTGACTTCAGGATAGCATTGCAGTGCTAGACATGTTTATGAGAATCTGTTGATCATTTTCTGGGGGCCCCATAGCAGCATGGTTAGCTTGCTGGACTTCTGGAAACTGGGAAATCACCTACTTCCTGGAAATGATGTCATTCATAGGTGACAGAAGAAGAAAGGTTTAGGGGGAATCAGATCTGTAACTTTTGGTTTGAGCAAGGTCATTTGTAGGTCACAGGAGTTAATCCCTGGTCCCTGCCTGCTCAGGTAAATTAAAACAAAACAAACAAACAAACAAAACCACTGGGCAGCCCTTAGTTTGCCTTTCCTCCAGATATCATTGCCTGTGTAGCCATTTGGAACCAAAGCACACAGGGACTGCTTCTCATCCAGATGTTTGTGGATCTTATCTCTTTGCCTGTAGTGAGTGAGTCTGTGGAAAATATGGTCATTGTTGGCTGGTTTCTGGGTCAGTACAGTTAAGTAGTTAACCTACAGTTAAGCATGTTGAAGCAGGATGGTTAAATTCATAGTGCATTGGACTGCTGTGTTCCTCAAATTTTATGACCTATTCCTGAAAAATCCAAAATATAACCATAGGCAGGACTGTGAGAAATGCCAAAGTGTCAGTGGGGAGCAGAATTAAAAAGGAGGAAAAGGCTTTACAGTTCTGATCTATGTTGTACATTGCCTGAGATGTCTGAGGGCATATTCTGAATTCTTTGTGTGATTAGAAGTTGTACCTTCATCCATCCCCTCACACACTCCTCTATCCAGTCATCCATCTATTCATCTGTCTTGCCACTCTGATAGGCCATGTGCTTAACAGACTGTAGAGAATATAGATTCTTTAATTGAATGAAACCCATTCCCTACCCTAAGGTTGTTGTTGAACGTTTTAAACCAAGGATTGGAACTTGACGATATACTGATTTGGTCCAAAGGCCACCATGATCTTCTAGTTTTATTTCAGGTCAATAATTTCAGAAAAAAGCATACATACAGTGTGTAGTCCAGTTTAAGGGAGAAGATAGTGAAGCTTAGTTTTACATGTAGTGAATGAAGCATGGATTATCTAGGATTTGCTTCACATTGCTGTTTTAAATGGAACTGACACAAAAGTGAAATCATTGATATTAGCTTCACCTCCATGGAAGCCTGTATACAAACAGCACAGCCAGACCATCCCTGTGTTTTGTTTATACAGAGATAATGTGCACTGTGTTCAGGTGGGTTCCCTGAGGCATGAAATACACTGTTTATGAAATTACAGATTAAGATCTTGGTTCTTCTGTCTTTGTTCCCATTTTTGGCTCTGGGCAGTTTTCCGGGGAAATTTTTGCAGAATGGATAGTATGGACTGAGAAGCTGAGTGGGGCCTGGGCTGCCCTCATGCTCAGGGACTGGAGGGAGAGCATGGAGTTGCTGGTGAAAGCTGTGGCAGGGAAGTGTGTTTGGTGTGGGTTTGCTTTCCAAGAAGGCAGTTGAAAGAGTTAGGCCATGTAATTTCCATAGGATCTGCTCCTTGCATTCTGTCTTTACATGATGATTTTCCTGTTGGGGCAGCCTTTGGTCAGCTTGAAATCTGTGCCTTTTTCCCCACTTGCATTGCCAAATTGAGCCTTCTTCCTTTGAAGGCCCAGAAAATCCTTCTTTGCAGACTGAGAAGAGGTGTGTATAGATTCTAGATTGGATGTCCTTTTTTTTTTTTTTTTAAATCCTCTTTCCCTGGGACTACCACAAGAAATTATTCTATTTGAACTCTCCAGCAGAGCCAATTAATTCGGGCTTCCTGGGGGAGAGCATGATGGTGGAGAGAGTGATTGCGCAGGGCAGGTCCAGTCCTTGAGTTGACGCTACCCTGACATTGCCCCCCTCCTGAGAGTCTCAGGTTGGCAGGAGTTGGGGTCCCATAGCGTTCTAGTTAAACAGTGGCACTGTGTTCCTTGCTTTGACTGTTTCTACTAATGACACAGTAACATAATTAATTGGTAATTAGGATGCCTCAGAGGTCTGTTTCCCTTTGAATCAGTGACTAGAGAGAATATGATTCTAGTAAGTGCTAGCATAGTTCTCCACAAAAGGAAAATGTGTACAGGCGCTCTCAGGCAGTGCTGGGGTTGGGTCACTTACCAGCACTGTGACCAGTGGAGCCATTTGATTTTTGCCATGTGTCCTAGATCCAGAATTGGTCAATTAGCTACACCTTTATTCCCAGATAGAAAGAACAGACATTAGCTCTACACAGGACTTTTTATTGTGTCTTCTGTGTATTTGTCACCTGGGTGACTATTTTTAGAGTTCTTCCTGGAGGGTTGCATGCTTGATTTCTGTATTCCTCAGCACCCCACTTGCTGTGTGTTCTCAGGGGAAGCTGTGCCTGAAGATGAACAGATAAGTGCCAAGGACCAAAAGAACCTGGAGCCCTGCGACAACACACCCATCATAGACAACATCACGCCCGTTGTTGTCGGCATCTCTGCAGAGAAGGAGAAGTATGACGAGGAGATCTCTAGTCTGTACCGACAGCTAGATGATAAGGTCTGTGGTTCAGGACAAGAGCTCTGTCTCTGTGGCCCGCAAAGACGCCACTCAGCCCCAGTTAAAGTGATAAATCATGTTATCTCTTAATGGCAGAGATAAGGAAGAGGAGGATTCAGTCAGAGTTACCACATCAGAGAAAAGGGGGATGAGAAAGGATAGGTAGCACAGGTGTTTAGATAAACACTCTCTGAATGGTTAATATGCTTATATGCAGAGGTAATCAGTTGACTGACACAAAGTGAAGAGAGATACAAAATGAAAATAGAGACCATAGGATTTTATCTTGCTTTTCCTTGGCTTTGTGGGGTTAGTGTTTTCTAAGAAAAGCAGTTTCTGCATGTCTCTTATACATATATTAGCCAGAGACCAACAGTCTTCACCTTTGTGCAAAGATGGAAGAAGGTGGCAGGCCCAGTGAGCACCAAGCCCTTTGGAGCTGGTGTGGGGCTGGGGGGGGGGTGGGGAGGCTGCAGACAACTACAGATGCCTCTCTTCCTGATTCCTGTTCTCTAGTTTGATTGCTGTGGGAATAGAAACCTTCATGGATGTTTGATTAGAAGAACCAGGAAGGGGGGGGGCAGATAGACAGGTGATCACTCTTAGCAGTCTGTCCCGGTAGACTGCTACAGGTAAGGAGGGCTGTGTGAGTATGCAAGGGTGTATTTGTCGCTTCCCTCCTTTTCTCTGCCTCTGCTTGCTTTTCTTGGAAAAGTTAACAGTAACCCCAGCCTGGGACAAGGTAAGTGACTCCAAAGACTCAAGTGTGACTTGAGTAGCTCTAAGATCCTGAGCTTTGGACCTAATCATATTAAAGATGATGGTCTTTGTACTGTGAAGCCGTTTTCAAAGACACATTGTTGAATGATGGAGATTGATCACATTAATTGGGGATGCTTAATCCTAGGACAAACTTCTAGGACTCACTTAGGCATGGCACTGTAAAGGTTAGAATATTGAAAAGACTCCTTGAACAGCATGTGTCAATCATCCCCAGTAAAGTTAGGAATCCCAGAGGTTCAGAAACTAAGTCAGCATGCCATGTGTTCCTGGCATATTGCTCATGGGATATCCTAAGCTCTTTCAGTTCATTTCATCAAGGTTGCTGATATTGTCAGTCTGGTTTAATCTTTTCTGTGTTGGTTCAGCTCAGGTGCCATGAGGACACCTATGGCCTGGATGTAATAGCTTTGTTCTGGGAACATCACCATTAATCTTACAGGGCTCTGTCTTTGGGGTAAAGCCCAGAGTCTGGTATTACCTTTGCAAGCTGAATGTGACTGATTGCCTGGGGACACTCCTTCTACTGTTTGTGGTTCTGGGAGTTTTATGATCCCCAAAGATTAAAGCAGAGTCATCCTGTGTTTCTGAAAACACATCTCACAAAATACCCATACCCAAGAGAACTGTGTACTTCACCCTTCGTGTTCTGGGTGTCCTCTTCTTTATTCTACACGGGTAATGTACTTAAGACCTCGACAGGACAAAAGGAGATCAATAGTGTGTTAGTAGTTTATGTGAACTTCCTGATTTCTCCAAAGAACTGTTGTTGTTTTCAGCAGTGAAGAAAACCAGATGTAATCCCTTCCTCCCTTCACAGATTCCTGTATCTCAAGAGTCTTGGATGGCGGGTCAGAATTGGTTCTGTGATGTTGAGAGATGTGGGAAAGAACAGAACCCAGAGGCAATGTCCTGGAGGGCATCAAAGCTCATGTCCACTGTCAGCTGTGTTTGTGAGCTGCTTGATTATGTCCTATCAGCTGTCATTCTTTGTCAGTCTTTAAGTTCCCTCAAAGACTCTAAAAGATAGCTCCATGCTTCTGGTGATTTAGGCGGTTAGAAACTTTGAGAATTCGAGAGTTGGAACATGGTGTCTTCTTTGATTACTGAATACTGTATCTGGAGGGATGTGAACATTAGCCTGGGTAGTTGCATGTGTCTTTCTAAAGTTTTCACAGTCCCTTGGTGGCAGAGCAGGAATGAGTTTTCATAGCCCTTGACCTTGAGCCCCACACTCATTTCATGATGACCTTAGCCCTTTAACCAAGGAACTGGCCATCCTTAGTGAATCTTTTTAGGAAACAGTGGGAGAAAGATAACACAGTTTCTCCAAAACCCTCTGTGATGTTCACATGGACTTAAGGACAGATATACCCCAAGGTCTGCTGCTTGATAGAAAAGCATGGGCTTTGTAGGAGACCCGTGACTTAATATAAGAGGCCAGTAGGAGATGCCCTGCTTCTCGGTATGCTATTCTCATCTGTAACTCAGGGCTCACAGATGTCACTTCTAAGATAGCCATGGGGACTAAAATCTTTAATGTATAACAGTATACTATAACTACTAGGTCCCTTATTAGTCTCCTCTGTGTGTTCTCTTTGCTTGATGGAGAAGCCACATCTATGGTGACATCAAAGGAGTGTCAGTATAGTGGGGAGCTGGGTTGTAGCATCAGAATATTGATGTTGGCCCAGTCTCTCCTTGGAGGCAGTGAATTCAAGAACTGGTAGTTGAATACATACTGTACTAATTACTGAGTAGCAAAAACATCTCCAGAATTAAAGGTGACCATATTATTTCATGTCTAAGAAAATCCAGCCACAAAATTAATTTTTGAAAAGTGCTCTGAAATGTGTTATCTCAGTGTGAGCATGCTTAAACATGTCCTGAGAGACACACTTGCTGTGCAGAAAGCACAGCACACCTCATTCAGAAAGGCTTAGAAATTAAAATGAAATCAGAATAGGCAACATCAAATCCTTAGAAAGTTGCCCTCATAAAAGGCAAGTCTACTTCAGGACACAGCTCTAGTACTGATTTTCTCTCTAGTGGAACCTTGTTTTCATCTTTCCCGGATGGATGGGGCTGTCCATTGTGTCATGTCGTGTCCCTGTTCCCCTCCCCCTCCCCCGCTTTTCATCAAATCTCCATTTGTCACCTGTCAGGGAGGAAGGCTGTATCTCCAGGTTTGCCAAGAGTGCAGTATGAGAAGGCAAGTTATTTCATCCTTCCCTTTTTTATTTCTGTCACTTGGGGACAGGTTTCCCCCCTCTGAGGGGCAGAAATACAAAACTGATGCTTGTAACGGGCATGCTAAGTGGATGGAAGTGAAGAAAAACATGTCCTACAAAAATAGTGAGTAAGCTGCCGAAGCGCCAATTCCTGGCAGTTTTGCTGTGCTGTCATTTCTCTAATTTTTCTGCCAGAAATCTGAGTTGGGAGGAAAATCATCAATATTTTATACAGCCATTGAAGAAATTTCGGTATATAAAGTTCAGTGCAAATCAGCTTTCTTTTTGTTGCTGTTGGTTTTTGTTTTTATTTTGTTTTTCAAGACAGGGTTTCTCTGTGTAACTCTGGTTGTCCTGGAACTCATTGTGTAGACCAAGCTGTCCTCAAATTCAGAGAGATCCACCTGACTCTGCCTCCCAAGTGCTGGGATTAAAGGCATCACTGCCTGACTGATGCCATCACTGCCTGGCGCAAATGGGCTTTCTGAGCAGGAGAGTGAGAACAAGTGTGTAGGAAAGACCAAAGACACAGAATAAGGATGTTCAGAGCCTCCATTGCAGACCTGAGAGTGCTGGTGCTCTTTGGAAGGCACCAGCTACACCATCCACTAACCGCAAGCATGTGCTGGCACAGACACCACCAATATATGCTGTGGATGTCTTCGGAATAAAGGTTCTGTGACCAGGTTCTGACATCCACCCCCCTCACCTCACCTCTGAAACAGATCCAAAGTTCTGGAGAGGGGTTTTAATGGTGATAACACCAAAGCAGGATCTGGCACAGAGGCAGTGTAATGTACTGGACTGGATTTGACAGCTTGGTGCACAGCCTGAGACAGGTCAGCAAATATCACTTCTCCTCTTATAACTGAAGGATAGATGAGCCTCAAGCCCCACTGTCATTTTTCACAGACTATACTTAAAATTTCATTTAAAATCACGAGAACAGAGCAGTGAAGGCCGCGTTCTTCTGCAGTGGTTAGGTGTCAAGCCTGCTGCCTCTCCTTCATTAGAGAAGGCTTGCTGGTTGGGAGGCTGGCAAGGCATTCTTGCTTTCTCAGCAGCGACACCCAGTGGGAGAGCTGCTGTTTTTCCCACTTGAGCTTTGGCTTGGCATTCATGTGTGCACACCCCATTGGTTGCAGGGTTTGTTTGTTTGCTTATTTTGTCTTTCAATTGGCAAGGCTATTGATTGCCAATCAAGAGGGCTGTCTATTGATACCAAAGAGAAAACTCCACATAAGCACTAGTTTTGCTACTCTAAGTAAATGGACATGGTGTTGAAATAGTGGTCCATCCATCTCGTCACTTGGCAGCGTTCCTGGTCACAGATGTGCTTGATAGTCTAGTCTGTTAACATCTTTGTTTGGGGAAGGATGTATCTGGAGTCCCTTTCAGTGCCCAAGTACCAGACCTCTGACTTCTGGATGGAGAAGATTTGGGTTCGATTTGTAGATATTACATTTCCCAGAAAGAAAGCTGGGTGAAGAAACACACTAATCAACGAGATCCCAGAATTGTCTCTGGCTGTACCCTTCCCCCCAATGTAATGAGTGAATTTAGGACCGGCTTCTTGGTGTCTGACTGTGGAAGGGAAGCCAGGGTATCAAAACTGACATAACTAACCCAGATTAAGCATGGTGTTTCTTTTTAGGATGATGAAATTAACCAGCAGAGCCAGCTGGCTGAAAAGCTAAAGCAACAGATGTTGGATCAGGATGAGGTAAAGTATGCAATAAATTCGTTTTCACAAATTTTTTTATTAGTTTTTCTTGTTAATGTTAGTCCTAAAAATATAATTTGCAAATAACCTTTTCAAAACCTTCGAGCATGTGGAGATTTCATGGCAGCTTTCTTATCAGTGCCTGCTAAAGGTTGGTTGTAACTGTGCATAGAAGACAAGTGTGACTCTGTAGTACTCCAAGGCCTGGGGAGTTGCTCTGTGCTACACTTGGCCCTGGGAGGGCACCCACCTCTCTCCAGGCCGTAGGATGAGTGTGCTTCTTGCTTAGCCACACAGAGCATCACTCTTCTGTTTCAGGGTATGTCCCCTCTGCATTTGAGCAGCGTCAGTCATCTACACAGAATGGGTTTCACTGTGACATTTTCATGAGTCTAACTCGCTTTGACCATATTCAACCTCACCCCCAGCCCGTTTCCCCCTCTTGTCTCACCTTCCTCTCCTGCTGTTTTTCTACTTCCTTTTCCAAGATCACTCTCTACAGTCCATGTAGAACAGAAAGTATGTGACATTTGTCTTCCTGCATCGGCTAATTGTCTAAATGTCAATGTGTCTCCGACCTTTTCCTACAAATGACACAATCTCCTATTTCTTTCTCACGCAATAAAATTTCATCATGTGCATGCATCTATCAATCAATCATCTGCATCTATCTACCTGCCTTCCACTTTGTCCATCCATCCATCCATCCATCCATCCATCCATCCATCCATCTATCCATCCATCATCTCCCTATCACATTTCCGCTACCTAGACATCTATTGATGGATACCTAAGCTGGTTCTATAGCCTGACTATTGCAGAAATCTGGTTTATGTTTTGGCGTAGACCATATCTCCCTCTGTCCTACAGGGAAAACAAAACCAAAATCAGTGTAGAACTTCAGAAGGAAAGAGAGTGGGACCCAGTGCTGTGCTACTGTATATTTGGTACACTAAAAAGGAGGCCAGCTGTTCTCAGCCTCCCCCTGCCAGCATCCAGTTCTACAGTCAATGCCTTGATTGCCATGGATTTTACATACAGGAACCCAAGCACAGCACAGCCAGCCAATCTATCAAGCATAGATAATTCAAAATTCTCTTGCTGAGATCACCTAAGTATTTTTCTCTTTTGTGCTTTAAGATGCTTTTTGCTTTGTTGCTAAAGTGCTGTTGATTGGCTCCTGTGATGCAGTGACGGCAGGTGGCGGAGACTGATGTCCCACTCTCAGTCCCCCACATCCAGAAATAACTGTCTTGTAACCATTTCCTTCCTCTGTGTTTCCCATCATCTTTACAATGTAACGATTGTGATTTTGTAGTGAGCCATATTTAATAGATTTCTCTCTTGCGTGTGGTTGAAACCACTTTTTATGTTTGCTGTTCTCTGCATGTCCAAAGAGGCACAGCTGCCTTGGATCGGTTTCTTTTGTTACAGTTCAAACCTTTAACATTTTTTTCCTACAAAGCAATAAATGCTCATTTTAGGAAAGTCAGAAAATAACAGTGGGAACAAAGCTAAAGAAACTACGAGCCTAGGAACTCATTTTACCACATGTCAGTGTTTGGGGTATATGCTTCTATACATTCTTAAAACATGATAAGGACATTTGTCTTCATTTTAATTACTCTTTGGTGTGGAATCAACCTATATACAGTATGAAATCATAGCACTGATTTCAAAAGCTTTGCCAGTGTTACTTCGGTCATTAGGAATGGTTCTCCCATCTTTTGTTAAACATGGGAAAGCCAGCCAGCTTGCTTGCAGGCACTGTGACACGGTGCATTCCCCACTCATGTTCACCCCTGCCATGGCCCTCTCTCGAGGAGGGCACACTCTGCATGGAGAAGTAAAACAATACAAATAAAACTGAGAAATAAGATTCAGCAAACTGTTTTCACTGTGGGCCTGGAAGTGAGGGCCCTATGCATTAGGCAGGAGCCTTCCCACTGAGCTTATGGCCTCAGCTGCTAGCAAAGGGTTCTGAAGTCCTGTCCCTTGCAGGGCTGCTGGCAGTGGCAGCACACCAGACAGGTGTTTTTGTAAGGCAGTAGGCCTTACAAAAGGGGAGTTAGAGCACCAGACAGCTACACATACCCCAAGTCAGATCTGGAGCTCGGGGTCTGCTTCAGAGAATGGATGATGCCTTTGCTGGGCCTTTGGGGGTGACCATGACTTTGAAACCCCACTCTGCCTGAAATGGGTGCTACTGTTACAAAATGGACTTCCCCAAAACTCAGTAGCATTAAACAATCATTATTGCTCAGAGGGGGAGGTGTGTGTGTGTGTGTGTGTGTGTGTGTGTGTGTGTGTGTGTGTAGTTCAGTCTTTGACTTAAGCATAAAATTCTAAAGCTAAGAAGGAAAAAAGAGAGAAGGGTTTTGGAATAGCATTTGAAAATGTATTTAGCATCTGTGCCATGCACTGAGAGCCACTGACAGACTGAGTGCTTCCAACCTGTTCTCTTGTATATCGTTATAAAGTTGCTCTATGTGAGTAGAGCATAGGTCCTTGACATATAATTAGTGGAGTCACCATTCCTTCTGATCTCCCCAGCTTCTAGCTTCTACAAGGAGGGACTATGAGAAGATACAGGAGGAGTTGACACGTCTCCAGATTGAAAATGAGGCAGCCAAAGATGAAGTGAAAGAAGTCCTCCAGGCCCTGGAGGAGCTGGCTGTCAATTATGACCAGAAGTCACAGGAAGTGGAGGACAAGACCAGGGCCAATGAGCAGTTGACGGATGAGCTGGCCCAGAAAACGGTTGGAGCAATAGTGTTAAAGGGGCGGGACTTCCTTGTTGACAGACTTATCTAGGAAGGCAGTTGGCTGAATGCTTGTGACTGTAAGACTCGCATTGTTCCGAGGCCTCTCTCAACAGCCCTTTCATCACAGACTGCCTGTGACAGTTGTTTTACACCCAGGAAGCTTATAACATCAGCATGAATGCTTTCTGGAAATAGTTGAATGCAGATTCTAGATCCAGAAAAAGCTCAGTGAAAAATGTGACCTTATGACTCTTTGACCTCAGGCAAGATGTTTAAAACATCTTGACTATTAATTGCATTATCTATCAAAATGACAATCATTTGCTCCTTGAGTGGCATGAGTGTTAGTCACAGCTTATGTAAAGCACTGAGCAAGGACCTGTGTGATATAGTAATGAGGAACAATGAATAACGCCAAGAGCATTGTTATTAAAGAGCATTATGCATTCCATTGTTCATACCCTATTGAATGAGATGGCTCCCCGCTATGCCATCTTGTCCTAGCTTCAGGAGGCCAGAGGTAAGCCAGTCCTGTTAACTTAAATCCAGCCAGCACATTGCTGTATTTCGAGTTCTTCCCAGTTCTTCCCAGGGAGGCAGTTTACTTGGTAAACTAGTGGCAGGCAGCAGGACCAGTGAGCATTTGTTGAGGTGGCTGTGCCATGCCCTTTGCTGCCTGGAGATGGGTGGTGGAGAAGTTGTGTGGCTGCAGCCTGCTGTTCTTGGTGCCTCTGCCTAATGGCCTGGTGTCCTAGACTGTGCCAGACTACCATATGGAAACATCAGTCCTGGGCACACAGAGCAGGTGGTGAGGTCAGTGCTGGTGGTAGAGTGGACAGGAAGTCCTATTTGTTCTCCACTTCCTACCACATGGAGGGAGAAAGGTCTTTCTATAGCTTCCCGGAGAAAGTGTGTCTGTGGTGAAACGAACAGTTGGCAATGGTGCCCTAAATCACTGTAGACTCACTTGGGGAGGACACCTACACTGCTTCTGCTCGTTTTCCTGGGTTCCAACAGCCCGTCATGCTTTGTGTTTTGTGCTTCTCGAAGTAAGGCAAGATTTTCCATACTGTGCTTCTAATTTGTGTCAAAACAACTGTTATCAGACGGCTTTCATAGTTTTTAAGTAAACTGTACTAGCTACAGTGGGGGAATTAATTTGCAAGGCTCCAGGAGTAGAAGACTTGCTCTAGTATTGGCCGAGTTCATACCAAGATGCTAAAAGAGGGTATTCAGTTGCTGTGAGTTAAGAACACATTACTTCTTGTGGTAATAAACATGGGAGGTAGAAAAGAGACTGATTTGCTGAAGTTTGGTGTGAAGACAGAGCTTTTACTGCTTCTGAAGGAGCTCTACTATGGAGCTTGAGTAATTTTGAAAAATTACAGTATTTAATTTGTCTTCCCTGAGTATTCAAGATGTTTTAAGTTATTTTCTATGCTCGTTAATGTTTTGTCTGGGACACTGATTCCAGTCCCATTAATTAGAATTTGGAAGTTACCCAGGGAGCAGATTTTTGTTTGAGCATGGAACTGGGGACCTTAAACTAGAACAAGGGGAATGAAACAGCATTTGGTAAGTTAGAAAATGTGATTAAATACTAGAAACATAAGGGCCTCTTTTTGTACCATTGTGTGCATGTGGATGGAGGCCAGAGGTCAGCCTTGGGCGTCATTCCTCGATGCTGTTCATCTTGTTTTTTGAGATAGTCTCATTCTTTTGGAACTCAAAGAATATGCTAGACTGGCTGGCCAGTGGGGCCACAGGACTCCTTCCCAGCACTGAGATAAGAAGTGGGCACCACCAGACCCAGATTTTTGTCACATAGTTTCTGGGTTATTGAACTCAGGTCCCAAGTACCTTATTGACTGAGACCTTTATTTATTTAAAAAGACTTATTTTCACTTGGTCAGAGGACAGTTTGCTGGAGTTAGTTCTTGCCTTTACCTGCTGTGCCATCTTCTAGGCCCAGGATTCATTTTTAATAACTTGCTTTGCTAACGTGGTTATTGTCAACTAAAACATATCTGGTCTTACAAGATAACATCTCCGTATTAAGTTCTTCTGTCAGAGAACCAAGTGTAGAGCAACAGTTGGCCTTCCGGGTTCTCGTGCACTGAGATCAGAGATGATCAAAGAGCTGCGTCTGGCATGGGCTGTTGAGCTCTGGAGGCTGCAGGTCCCACCTTGGTAACTTGTGGTTGAATTTGTTTTTCCAGACAACACTGACAACCACACAGAGAGAGCTGAGTCAGCTACAAGAGCTTAGCAATCACCAGAGGAAGAGAGCCACGGAGATCCTGAACCTGCTGCTGAAGGATCTGGGGGAGATAGGTGGAATCATTGGCACCAATGATGTGAAGACGGTGAGCCAGACTTCTGTCCTTGGTGTGATGGGGGCCTCATGGCACCAGAGCCTCAGGGCTGTGGTCTGCATGTGTAGCATGATGGGAAATAATTGAAGGCAGGAAAAAAAAAAAAAGATGGTAATGAAGTTTGGTGTGGAGGAGAGTAACAATTTGCCTTTCAGATCTGGGGAGCATCTTCCAGTCTTGATTGGAGGCAGCTGGGGGGAGTTTGGACCTCAGGTGTCTCCCACTTATGAACCCAATGCACTGAGAATTCTCCAGCCAAGCAGTATGGATTATGGAAGCTTCCAGCTGAAAGTCATAGGCAGCTACCAGTGGCTTTCGGAGTAAACCACACTTAATTATCCACACAACAGGAGAAGCCAGGTGCCTGTTATTCGGTGTGGTCTGCATCACCTGGAGCTAATTAGCAATACAGACCCGAGGCCTACCTCAGACATACTGAAGTAGAATTTCACCTTTTAACAAGATTCTCCAGGTGACTGCACTAAAGTAAGAGAAACAAATGTTGTTCTGGTGAAGTGGCTGGATAATATAGAGAACCCAGCCATTCTGTTCCCTCTCTGGCTGTCCTCAGCCTATTTCATATTTTTATATCTTTTGCCTCATATAGCAAGATCACTGCAATAGCACCAATCATCACATCTTCACTCGACTACATCCCAAGCAGTGTGGGCTGAAACAGACTACTTTTATCCAGGAGGGAACTGTATGCCAGAAATTCCTAGGAGACATAGTTGGCCAGATGTAGGTCACATGGACCATTCCAAAGGAGAATAAGATTACCATGAATTGCTTTATCCCCTCAAGTTATGCACACTGGTGTTCTTGAGGGCAAGGAAGTGAGAGAGGTAAAGAAATAGTGGGTAGTCTAAAGTTGTCTCAAAGCTGGGATGAGAAGGAAGAGAGAGAAAAAGAATGTTATGAGCCAAGAACAACAATGAATGGCTGTTGTCATTAACCAGAAAAACAGGATCAAGAATTACAAAAATAGTCTCATTGGGGGAAACATTAGATGGAGTCAGCTTCACACTTTTGAGGTAGACCATCGTCTTCTGAGGGTGGTGGTGACTCCCTCTGAAGGCTAGTGTCACACAGTTCTGATGAGCATAGCTTTCCAGTGACAGAGCACCTTGGATGGAGTAGTTACTGGTTTTGTGGATGACACCTGGCTGAGGATGAATGACAACTGGCTGGTGTTCCTTAACTTGCTGCCCCCACAAATCCTGCAAACAGAACCCTCTGAGAAGCATTTTACAGCTTTACTGCATGATCCTTTGGTGTGTTGACAATGGTTAAACACTGGGAACTCCTGCAAAATTTAGAAATCTCCTTTGGGAAACAGAAAGCCATTGGAAGGTCTCGGCTGCACATCTAAGACTTTGGGCCTTGATTGCCGCTGAGTGCTTCATGAGTCCCTGTGAGCGTGTGCAGCAGCAGCACCATGTGCAGGTCCCGCCAGGTCAGTCTGTCAGTCCCAGTCTGGAGATTCTGTTAATTTTTAGTGCCACATGTTGGTGTTGAGCAAGGCAGTTCTGACACTGGTTAAAGGCCTCCTGGGACCAGGTGGAGTTGATTTATGGGAAATCGGCATCTGCTGCTGACAACAGTAAGGGAAGGTGTCTTTATGCTAAAATTTTGACATGGAGCTGATGAACACGCTAATGAAATCAAAGCATGCCTGTTGCTTTGCCATTAAAGGTCCTTCCTGCTGGAAGTCCGGCATTTAAAAATACTCATTGGATTTTTTAGATTAATTTTAGATTCCAGACATTGGATGCCCTAGTTAATTTCATTGATGACTCTCACAGATCATGGTACTAGACCATCTTGTTCTATGCTGGACCAATGACAAAGGCTGCAAGTATTTTCCACTTAGTGTTTCTATGCTGTTGCATTACGAGACGGATGGAACAAGGAGCACTGTTGGAAGGCAAATCTCAGGCAGTCACAAGCCCAGCTTAAGTTTAGCAAGAGCTTCTGAGAAGGGGAGTCAGGCTGATAACTGTAGTTTTTCCCTGCTTTAGCTTGGTATTGTGTTGGAGTCACTGTTAAGTACTGTTGAATTCTTATAAATTAAAATCCCAGTGCCAACATGCAGAGCTATGAACTTTATGTTTGCTACCGATTTTCAGGGCTCATATTTCAACACCATCTAAACCTTAGCTCTCAAATGAATACATGGAAAAAAAGGCTAGTTAATGACAGCAGTAATGACATGAGGATGTGGGAAGGGCAGTGAGAGGACACTGTGGAGCATTAGAACCTAGAGTTAGAGACCTTGCCTTCAGCAGAAGCTGGTCCTTGGGCTGGAGGCTGCTGGGACAAAAGAGTCTAACTAAAGTGCAAGGCTCCCCTCTGGTGGCCAAATATAGTATACACCAAGCTACTTTCTCCATGGCTTAGCTTGTGTACCCTGCATCTCCATCAATCCCAAATACCTTGTTTCCGGTTTTTTTGTTTGTTTGTTTGTTTTGTTTTGTTTGTTTTTTCTTTGGTTTCCAGTGGAGCCCTGAAACTTAGAAACCAGATATAGCTCATTCAGAAACTCCATCAGAATAATCACTTTTTGATGTAAACTTAGGCTTATTCTTAGATATCTTAATAAGTAGGTCTACTTGGAAGGGCAGGTGTTGAAAGGCAAAGAAAAAAGATTGGTAGCAACAGAACCTTCACCACAAGGAAAGAATGGTGCATCCCCAGGCATTACAAGTTTTGTTTGAAGACTATGGAAAAAGTCTTTTATAGTTCAGCCATGGCACATAGAGGCATTGGGCTACCTGACCACTGTGGAGGGTGTGGAGAATTGAAATTCTGGGCCTAGATTCTCCACAGGTAGGGTTAAGGGCCCTTATAGGGACACCATTGTGGTCATGGCAAGGTAAAGCTTCTGAGAAATTTTCTCCTTTAAGAAATTCTTCAGTCGTTTTTCTTCCTGGGTCATCCCATCTATCCTCAAATCAATGATAATGAAATGTATACCTAACTGAGGAGCACATTGGATTGTGGTTTCTGACGGGAACTTTCTCTGAGGACTTCACATGGACTTGGTAGTTTTTATTTTTAACTTTCCCTATGATTAGACTTTTTGCCAAAAAGCTAGAGCTGTCTGTCTCAAGGACCCATGGTTGGGTGTCAAGGGATCCTTGAACATCTGACGGTTCTCTCTCTGCTCAGCTGGCAGATGTGAATGGAGTCATTGAAGAGGAGTTCACCATGGCACGCCTATACATTAGCAAGATGAAGTCGGAGGTCAAGTCCCTTGTGAACCGTAGCAAGCAGCTGGAGAGTGCCCAGATGGACTCCAACAGAAAGATGAATGCCAGCGAACGGGAGCTGGCAGCTTGCCAGTTGCTGATCTCCCAGGTGGGCTGTCCATCCCATCTTGTTCACACTCCTCTGTTGAGATCTGTTCCCTCCTTGCCCTTCTTGGGATGTGTGTACTAGACACGTAGACACTCAGTCTACATGAACCTAGTTCAGGTTATCCCAGCCATACTTTTCTGTCTTTTTGAGACAAAAGCATCACTTTGTAGCCCAGAATGGTCTTAAATTCATGATCCCCTTGTTTCAGATGCACTCTCTCACCTCCTTGCTGAATATGGGTGTTTGGGGTATGTATTACCAAGCCTGATTTCTCTGGGGCTATCCTTAAGATAGATTTTGTTGTGTAAGTTACACAAATCAAAGGCTTTTCTGTCTTCAAAGGGTCCATCTGTATTTCTCTGTTAGCCCATAGTTGGGCATATATAATGTATCTCTTAATCTCCTGTTAGTTAGGGTAGCATTCCTACATCTGTAAATCTACCATGGGGACAAATTGTGCAAATAGAAGCTGTTGTAGATGGTAGTAACAGGAGCCATTTCATTGTTTGTCATATGTACACATGGCACTCAAAATTTTGTTTGCATTTTCTTGTTGATCTTTAAAAAATGCCATAGGCAGAATTTATTCTTGTTTTTTTTCCAAATAGAGGTGTGATTGTGATTAAATATATTGTCAAATCCATAATGGCAGAACTGGACATAAACCAAAACTTGTGTCTTGGCTCCTCATGCTCAGGGCATGTGTCTTTGGCCATGTTCTTTTCCTATTGGAATGGTGCTTTCATCTTGGGAAGATAGTTCAGAGGACTGTGGAGCAGTTCTGGGCTACACCGATGTGTAAGCTTACTGTTTGGGTTTGAGATTTCTGAGATTGTGAAATGTGTGCTGCTCACTACCTTGTGACAGTCATTTGAGGAAGCAGGTACAAGTGTGGCCTAGAATGTCTAACAGTACCAAGAGGCAGACAAAAGAACACCGTATTCTGATATAGCTTTAAACATACACAGTAATAGAAACAGCTTTAACCTAATTGTCTAAAATGGGATCTGCCGTTGTTTTTTTACCAGGTAAAATAATATTTAAAGGGTTATTCAGTGCTGATATGTGATAGAAAGTTGATAAACACCATGAGATATAATTTAGTAATCCTTTTGGGAAGCCCAGGGAAAAACAAAACCGGAAAAAGCATATAAGTATATTGAGTATGTTTGTGTGTTTGTGTGCGTGTGTGTATGTCCTCACATGGATGCGTATGTGTGGAGGCCGAAGGTTGACTTTGAGTACCTGTCTCTATTTCTTTCTTCTCTATTTTTGGAGACAGGATATCTTGGTGATACTGAGCCTTGTGTTTTGGCTAGACTGGCTGGCCAGCCATCCCTGTGACCCACCTGTCTTTGCCCATTCTCAGCTCTCGGGCTGTAGGCAAATGCCACCACCCTCAGGTTTTATATGGCTTTTGGGGATCCAGATGTAGGCCCTGTTCTTATACAGAAGGCACCTCTGCCCTCTGTGCCATCTCCCTAACTTGGAAGTGTCTTTTGGTCCTGTGATCTTATGTATTCTGTTTTTTATTGGTAATGGAGATTAAATTTTTAAAGTTCATATGTTATTATAATCTCCTGATTAAAATATTAAAAGTTTATGTGGAAAATGTTGAATGTGCTATTACTTTATATTATCATAAAATATATTACCCTAACACCTGTTGATAGACAAATGATGCTGTAGAAGAATATTACATATTTTTGGTTGTGAGCCTAGCCTTTAATGGCTAAGCCATCTCTCCAGCCAGAATATTACATAGAACTTACAAAAATCCATAAAACTTGGGCACTTGAAAAGTATAATTTTATAAAATTAGGCTAAAATGAAAATATTGCATTATATCTATGCCATTTTATATCTTTGTAAAATATGCCTTAATTTGTAAGACAGGGTAGTTTGTAGGTGAAATTCATACTACATTTTTATAGATTTGCTCTATATTTTATGACTATATTGTCATTAACAGCAAGAACTTTTTATTTGCAGCAAGACATTTTTATAACTTACAAAAATTGAGAGAAAAAGATAAACATTGGAGAAAGATACAATTCAACTTTAGTTTCTAGGTTACCTTTGAGACCATGGCATAAACTCAGGGGTACTTTGACTCCCAACAGTTGTGGGCTGAAGTCAACCATAGGCAGTGTGTCCACGGCCAACAGCCCAGTGCTTTCTGTGTCCAGCTGGACAAAGTGGCCCCATGTCCAAATCCCTCCCACACCCTGCATATAGACCCAAATACTCAGATCAGGTCAGCTGTGCCCTTCATGAGGGAGGGAGGAAGAGAAGATGCAGCCTGCAGAGCCCCTGGGCAAGGGCAGCACTTGGCCTGCAGTGCTGAGAGTGTGCCCTAGACAGATGTAGGCAGGGAACTCTGGTCATTGGAGCGAGTACAGCCAGAGGAAGGCTGAAGAACATTCACTGTCACTGGTGGGGTCCCAGCATCAGAGTTGAGAAAATTTAAAAATTAGGAAAATCTTCCTATGTCTGCAGCAAGGGTGGCTTACCATGAGACTGTTTCATATTCTATTATGATGTCCAGAAGCCATCAATTCACTCATTGCTTCCAAGAGATTTCATACGGACAAAACCATGGTTCTCCAAGACCTGATGTGGTTTCTGAAGTCTAACAGAATTCTTTCTTCTTTGGTTAAACCTTCTTCCCCCAAAGCTGTTCTTATATGTCTTCCCACTGAGTTACAGAGTTGTTATGCCATCACCTGTCATTCTGCAGGGTCTTCCTGCTTAAACATGAGCCCTGATTCCAGTGGGGGACAGTCTGTATCTTCCGTCTGTCCAGAAGCCACTATTATTCCTGACCAGTCACTGAACTCACATCCATTTACTGACTCCTTCCACTGGTGTTCATTAAGAATCTACTCTATACCCTTGTGGGCAAAAAATAAAAAAATAAAAAAATAAAAAAAAAAATAGAAAAGGTACCATCACACAGAAGCAAGAGCTGTGAGAAAATGCTGAGGTCTGATAGGGAGCCAGCAGGACATTGTGTGTGCATGTGTGTGAGTGTGTGTATGTGAAGGGTTCTGGAAGAGAGGGAACTCTCCAGACAGAGGAACCCTAAGATGCAAGGACACTAATGACCAGAGTTGGTTGCCCTGTGTCTGAAGGACACACACACACACACACACACACACAAAAAAAAACAGATGTGCTATTTGAATCCACAGGTGCATGTCCAAAGACAGATAGAGGCCTTCAGCCCTGGATGTTTCCTAGTTCCTTCACACACTCCCCTCCCTGCTCCTTAGGGTGCGGGGCACTGAATCCAGGCCATTGCTCCTGCTAGGCAGGTGTTCTACTGCCAAGCTACACCAGTAGCTGTTTAGTTTTTACCATGAGGAAGGAAACCAGGGTAGGCTTTGGTCTTCACATGAAGTGGAAAGCGCCAGGGACATAGTATGCAGTGTGTATGGAGACATAAGCGTCAGAGTACATGGAAGAAACAGAACTGCCTCCGTCCTCATTTGTGAAGCCCAGGCAAAGGACAAAATAGGAGCCATTCCATGGTGAGGTCTCTAAGTTGTTGTTTCCTACTGGACAGCTCCAGACAAGCCCGGACGAGCAGACACTCGCCACTCACCTTTCCTTCCCTCTGTTTTCTTGCTAAAAGCATGAAGCCAAGATCAAATCTCTGACGGACTACATGCAGAACATGGAACAGAAGAGGAGGCAGCTGGAAGAGTCTCAGGACTCACTCAGCGAAGAGCTGGCCAAGCTTCGAGCCCAAGGTAAATAGTGACTACTTTGGCAGTGTCAGACACTTGGCCCACGTCAGTCTCTGTTTGGCTGAGTCTTGATGTTTAGTTCAATTACAGCCTTTCTGTGTCTGCTGGGAACCCCAGTGTTAACAGAAAGAAGAGATCCATGCTAGCCCTACTGTGTATAAGCCTTCCCAGCTTCCCTCTGTCCATCCAGCTGCCTGGGCCAGCATCCCCCACTTCCACCCATGTGGCCTCTAATCACTCAGCAAATCTTGTCCCTCACGCTTGTCAGATGCCTCTGGCTCTGCTCATCTCTGTTATGATTGCCTTGTGCAGCCTAGTTAGGGATTGTGGCTAAGTCAATACGCTGAGGGGGTCACCTCCAGTCTTCTCTGGACTAGCTACCTGCTATATCCCAGGGGTGATTATCTTATGTCAGACCCTTCCATGGAGTTCTGCACTTACACTGTGGCTAAGCTGAGAAGCTCAGCTTTTGAACAAGCCCTTCCCTTAGCTGTGTGGTATCTGATAAACAGAAAATGCTTAATAACATGTGAGTAAAGAGAAGCAAACATTAAGAGTGGCAATCAGAAATGCAGAAGCCAGAACAGGATTAAGAACTTTGTAATGTGCAGCCTGAGACCAACCACACATAGTAAAGGCTGAAATGTTGCCTGAGGAGGGCAGAAGAAGTTGTAGGTAGAATTATAGGCATTTGTGAGCCACCTGGTATGGGTGCTGAGAATTGAACCTCATTCTCTGGAGGAACAGCAAGTGCTCTTAACTGCTGAGCCATCCCTCCAGCACCTCATCACAAAACTTTAGCTCAGAAAAGCATAAACAAGAATGAAGGGAAGAGGAAAAGAGAAAAACATCCAAAATATCTAAAAGTTCAGTAGACTTTAATAGAATATCGTTGGAGATATTAGAATTCACGCCGGAGACAAAACATGCATGTGTGTTGCAATAATTTATGATGCAGTGTTAGGTTAAAACCTTTATTGCAGTTATTCAAAATAAATAGATCCTTGTGGTCTTAGAAATGAATATTTAAAATAAAAATATTTTGATAAGTAATAGGATTGATGGTGTTATTATTCATTTCTTTTATTTTCAGGTAAAGCTATTTACTGGATAAATACATGCTACTTCAGGTTCAAAGGCAAATTAAGAAAGAGCCCTGCCATAGCTTGGTAACAGTTTATTTTAGTGGTAAGGAATGAATGTTGAGAATAGAGTATGCCACCTAGCACTGGATAAAGAAAAGCATTTTCCCCTCTTGCATGTGTTTCGTGCAGTGGGGCCACTGAATATAAATACAAACAGGGAGATGGCCTGATATAAGGTAAAATAGACTAGAGATATAGTGAGTTAGATGTCAGTTTCCAAATGACATTTGCTTGCAGCCCCTTATAAATACAAACAGGGAGATGGCCTGATATAAGGTAAAATAGACTAGAGCTATAGTGAGTTAGATGTCAGAGTCCAAATGACATTTGCTTGCAGCCCCCCCCTCCCCCAGCTTTCCAGCTCAGGGAGCCCCACTGAGCAAGAGTACAGAGAGACAGGAGTGCTGGCAGCAGCCCTCCCCACCTGGGGCCCCCTGGTGAATCTGGAAAGTGCTGGAATCTATTTCTGTTTCCCTGGTTTTCATCTTTAGCTTGTTTTCCTGCTTCAGAGCCTTAGGAAATCAACAGTTACTCCTGGGAGGTAAATTAGCTCCTTGTGGAATTCTACCAGTGACATGAATCCAGATGTCACCTTACACTCAAGAGCTTTATAATCTGCAAGACTTGATCATGTCCTCATGCCCGTGCCCTCGGGGCCCACTCCCAGAGGCCAGGTGGAAGCAGTTCTGGGGCTGCCTGCTTCCAATTACCCCTTTCTTTCCCTGGCTGCTCTCTGCTGGGGAGACCTCAATTTACCTAAGTAAAGTGACCTAAGTACCAGCACAGGTCACAGGAGAGGTCAGCCCTGGCATTTGGGGTGCTGGGGCAGGAAGAAGGCCGTCCCGGGTGCTGCTCTGGTACAAGTTGGCTGCTATCTTCACTATGTCATCATCAGTTTGTTTTCTGAGTTTCTGCCAGTTAAAACTGAAGTCACTTTTACAATTTGAAACAGAAAAAATGCATGAAGTCAGCTTCCAAGATAAGGAGAAGGAACATCTGACAAGGCTCCAGGACGCCGAGGAGATGAAGGTGAGTGTGTGGATTTGAGGTGTGCACATCTGGAAAAATCAGTCTTCTCAGGCCTGTGCATGCCAGTGTGAGACAGAGATGAGAGGAATCATGACTGGGCCTCCAGAGCAGCTCTCCTGGGGCCTCATGTAGTCACAAGGTGATGATGGGACCGTCCAGGAAGCCAGACACATCTGTGGATACAGTTGTGTTGCATTGATGCCTGTGTTCCCTGTTCCTGATGAAGTGGGTATAAGGGCAGCACCGCAGTGACCACACGGGCCATGTGACCTGTGTTAATTTCTAGAGAAAACTTTTCCTCTCAGCCCCTACAAAGAAGATCTTCGAACCCAAGTTTCCTAAAACACAGATCTTCATGTCACATTTAAATCAAGAATGGAAAATGTAGAAAAAAATAACCGGGAAATAAGACTTCCAAAATTGAATAAAATGAGCTGGAACAGACAGGAATTTTGATCGATTTAGAAAAACCATGAACCTCACTGAGCAGAAGCTCACAGCTGATAGTCTGCTGCGTAGCCTGGCCTTGCTTTGGTGGCTTGCTCTCATGTCAGAGTGCTCTTGGAAGTCTATGGTGGGCTGGACAGAGAGAGGGGCTATCCCTCAATTCAGCAGGTAAGGAAGTGTTCTTACAGGGGTTAAGTGATGCGTCTGAGTCACTCAGGTAGTAAGGGAACTACTGTGTTCTGACTGGCCTGGCTGGGCAAACCATGTAGCTCAGATGAGTGAAGGCAAAGGCAAACTTCTGTGCAGTTATTGGGCTGGTTTGCCTCCAAGGCCCACACAGTTTTGTGACAGATCTGTGGGCTTTGCTGTGCAGATGAAGCAAGGCCAGGAGCTTGGCATAAGAGCCATAAAACACCCTTAATTTTGGGATTTAACATCTGAGGGAGGTAGACATGGATCGGGGGCTTGTCACTGAGTAGGCAGAGTGCCAACAAGTTGATGCGACATTTCTCCTGGCCTGGCTTGCAGAAGGCTCTGGAGCAGCAGATGGAGAGTCACCGGGAAGCACACCAGAAGCAGCTGTCCAGACTTCGTGATGAAATTGAGGAGAAGCAGAAAATCATTGATGAGATTCGGGAGTGAGTTGGCGAGGGGCTCACAGGACATGGGTGGGCATGCTCAGGCCTTGTGAGCCAGACTTAAAGGACAACACTCTTAGCCCAGGGGCCTTTGTCTCCTTGTGCTTGGACTCTGTGCTCTGCCTAGGTGGTGCTGCCTCTGAGGTCTGTTCTCCCATCTGGAACCCAGCCTCTTGGGGCTCTGGTATAGCAGGTGGCAGGCAGACCCAGCCACCGCTCTGCATCACACCAACTGGGGTAGGATCAGGGATCAGTGGTGACTCAGGTTGGGAGATACATGCCCAGGAGCCAGAGAGATTATATGAAAGTATGAAAAAGAAAAGACTATTCTCCCCAGAATTAATAAACACTCCAGAGAAGCCATTTGGCATTGCTGCTCCTTCAGCCCACCAAATTATGTCCCTGAAGTTACCTTGTTGCCTGTGTGCACACCTCAGAGACCTATGCCAGTGTGTCTGTGCAAGGTGGATGCCAGTATACCATGGTGTTGCTAGTGGGATGGTGCCATTGCAGCTTAACTGCAGATGCTGCCCATGGCCACATCCTGCCTTCTCAGAGTCTCTGGGGGGAACACCTCCACAGCACCCTTTTTTTCCTGCAGCACAAGTCTTCCAGCTTCAGAGTTCCTTCTGGGGGCTCTTTATGCTCTTTGCATAGTAGATCTCCTTGGCAGTCTTTGTACCCCCTTGCAGAACAGCCCTTTAGATGTTGTCCCCAAAAGGTATACTCTTAAAAAGAAAATATGTCTACTTGTCTACTGAAATATAATCTCACTCACCGCCCTCCCTCCCTTCCCCCCCC